GACACTTCATGGTCAGTCAGGGCAAAATCCTCCCCACGTAGGCGGCCTGCTGGAGGCCCAGGGCGTGAGCTGAGGGAATTTTGTCTGCTCCCCTGCCAAAGCATTTAGAGCACTGTCAGGTTCCAGCTATTTAAAAGCACGATTCCCCCTCCTGTTACTAACTCCCACCAGACATTACCACCACAAACCTTTTCTGGCTTAAATCCCTGAATTTCCTTTGCCCTGGTGCTTCCGCCTGAGCGCGTCGGCTCGCCTGGGGGAATGACAGCAGAGTTCACCAGTCTGGGTCCTGAGCGGCTCTGGCGGACAAGACCAGGACTGTCTGGTCACACGGAGCTCACCCGAGGACAAGCAGGAATCCAGCCAGCCTCCCCAAGATCTCCCGTCCCCCAAACAGAACCCCGAGCTCAGCCCAGGGCCCCGGCCCAAACCTCATGTCTTTGGCTTGAGCCTTCAAAGAAGTCTGATTCCGTTCACTGATCTCGTCTCCGTTGCGACAGGTGGAGTCGTAGACCTTCCCTTCACGGAGGTGCTCACGCTAACCTCTCTGGTGGGCAGTCGTCAGTGGGGTCAATGGATTAAACTGGAGCCAGGATTGGGGCCGTTGGGCACCGTGTCCAGACCCTGTTCAGACTGTTGCTACACTTCAAAGGCGAAAGTGCTGCAGGGAGCACAGGGCCAGCAGGGGACTCGTGTAGTTCCCCACTGGCCCCATGCTCCCCATAGCGCTTTCGCCTTTGAAGTGGAATAACAGCCCTAGGGCTGCCGCTCTGAAGCGCCCCCTTTCACTTCCCCCCTTACTGAAAGGGCAGCAAGGGGGCAGGGGAAGCGACTAGTCGACTAGCCTGTTGACTATCCAATATGCATTTGCAGATCAGGTAATCGACTAGTCGTTCCCATCCCTAGCCTGGTCACATGGACGCGAAATTAGTTTGGAATGTTACTTTTCCAAGTAAGGGCCAGTTGCCATAGGGATGTCTTGCAATTGCCAAGCAGAGGAGAGGTAGCATGAGAGATTATCTTTCAAGATATGGAGACAACCCAGGTCCAAGGCGCCAGGTGAGCCCAGCTCATCAACACTGTTCAAAAATTCACAACATCTAGGTACAGCCAGAATGGGAGCTTGACAGCCTGGGTGGGTTTACTGCACCTAGAGTCTCCCTGGTTTCCGACAGCCAGTGTGACTCGAACATCAGCCTCTGGATGGAAAAGACGATTAGTCAACAGCATAGCTGTGAAATCCACCCCCACGAAGGTCCTTCCAAGGCAGGAGAGATGGTGTCATGCAAACCGCAACCATACTCCAACTTCTTTGCTACTAGTGACACATTCCTGTCAACCCCAAGAAGCTGGAACAAAGTAGGAACTTGCAGTGAAGGGAGGGGAGCCAGTCCAATTAATGCAAATTGGACCTTTTACTGGGATTATAATTTTAGTGAGAGATGGGTGAGACTTTGCACCTTTGCTGAGAGGACCAAAGTACTTCACAATCTTTAGGCCTTGATGCACACATGAATTTTATCTCCTTTTTACAGGCACAACCTGAGCCAATGGAATCATTACTTCCTTAAGGAGACACACTTCAGAATTCAAGAGTTCTGACTCTTACTAGATCACACTTCCTCTGGTTTTCTGCCAGGGTGAAGGAGGTGGTGCAAGTGTAGGGGGAAAACCCAGAGGAGAGATGGCCAAACTCTCCCCCCACGTTCTGATCTATCCCCCCTCCTTTTCCCTAGAGTTACGTTCTAAAGTCCATTTATTAGTTTTTCAAAAGGGGGGAAAATAAAAATCAGACAATTTTTAACTAGCCAACCCTTTATACAACATTGATGACAACAGCAGCTGAGTGTATTCCCTCCACTAACCTAAGATAACGTCTTGAACAGGAGTGTGACACTCTCTCTAGAAAAGATTTGAGTTATTTTGGATTTGACAAATGTCAACCACCAGCATCTCAGGCAGAAGTGAATTCTCGTTCCTTGCCCTCAGCCCAAATAATCCGTATGCATTCTACAGGCGCTGTCTGCAAAATCCCAGGTATCTCAGGGCCAAGTGACAAAGGGTACAATTTAGAACGAAAAGAACGTGTGAGTGTGTGTCCACATTGGAACGCGTTTTTGTATATTTTTGAGAAGACAAGCTGAGCAGACGGAGTGAAATCTTCTTCCAAATAGGAAGCACTTCACATCAGCAAGCCAGATAGCAGGGTGATAAAAAAAACTTTGCGAGACACCCCCCAACTCTCCGGCACAAAAAAAAAATAAAAATCGATTTCTCCGCAGGAAGGCTGGAAGAGACTTGACGAGATGAGCACACACATGGGTGAACCTCTGGATTGTTCATTTAAGATTAAGGCATCTGAAGATGCCGACTAGCTAAGCAGTTAAAGTCACACCACAGACGTCTTATAACGTGGCATTACCATGCTGCAAAGAACAGAAAACGTAAAATTGCAGGGCACAGAAGAGCTTAACTTATTTTGCACCTGATACACAAACTTAGCTGAAGCTGAGGGCAGAGGAGACTCCCCACTCACCAATCTGCTCTCTTGTCATATTTTATATTTAACCTAGTTCCAGAATATTTGGATCTCAGCACAGGACCCAAGTCTGTGTAAGGCCGGGGCTATTTTGGATTCAGGACTACACTGGGAATTTGGTAATATTCCACGCCCACATTCAATTTTAAAATATTACAGCGTGATTGGAAAGGTGTGAGGAGGTTGTGCAGGTTATCCTGTGTCCATACAAACACAAAAAGTATCTGTTTCATGCAATCCCTGATGCAATAATTACCTGGAGTATGGCTAAGATATGAACAAAAAATCATCCTCAATAGTCAGTTATTTTTTAACCTTTCCTCAAAGGGATGGAAGAAGTTACCTTGTTTTCCTCTCACTTTGGGAAGCTGGGAGAGGAAATTTTTACCGGTTAACTTCAAATGGTGTCCAAATTACAATGATCATTATTGGCAAAGTGCAGATCTGGGTTCATTCTGAAAAGCATCACTGTGAAACAGAAAGCAGCCAAGTCTGCACATGGTTAAGAACCCTACAATGCAACTCCCTGAAAGCAGGGCTACTCTCGGAAAAGTTGCTATGGGACACCTTTCTAGAACAGGTGCACTTTCAGAGAGATTGTCTTTACTCACTTCCAAGAGAAAAGCACATTTACTTCTCCGATTTCTGCAGCACACAGCTGGTGCGCGTTGTGCCCTAGTTCACACAGTCATCCTGTTGCACAGTTAAATTTGTCCTCCGTTAGAAGTGGCCACCCCAGTGAAGACAACGTGAGTAGAATTTGGCCCGAGAACTCCTGTGACTGGTGATGAGGCACAAAGCAGAGAGCACAAGTCTGTTTCTCAGATCCAAGTGGCTCCAGATGGGCATTTTTATAGTCACTTGTCAGGGCAGAGCCACGCTTTTTACAACACAGAAGATCCGGTTCCTTTGTGTATTAATGACTTTGGCCTTGGGGAGTTTGCAGGTGCAAAAAGCGTTTTAAGAAGAGAACCAGTTTCATATTGCAAAATATTTAATTCACTGTTAAAATGAAATGAAACAACAAAATAGTAATACAATTTTACTAAGTTATATTTCAATTCATGAAGTATACACACTAGCAACTACCCTACCACCATATCCACACATCTAATATTGATGGAGTTACAGCATTTTTGGTATTAAACAATGAAGAGAATGTATGCCGTTAACAAAAAAAGCTTAAGCGTAAGCATCCCACAGTTGCAGATTACACCAGCTCGCGTTAGTACAGTCAACGAGAAAAAGGTAGAAATACAAAATAAACCAAATATCTTTATATACAAACCAGTGCCTCTTATTGTAACCAGCTTATACTCACACTGCACACAAAATGTATCCACTGATGCAATAGATAATTCAGCATAACACAAACCATTATAAATTAAAAAAATTACAAGGTGCAAAACCTCCATTCTACAGCTTTCTGATGAGAACTTCGGGACAATCCAAAGGATGAGAAATCCAAGCACATTTAGCACCTGTTAGTGCAACTGCACTGAGCGTGGAAAAATTACCTACAGACCCTCTGAATGTGTTACCAGGAAAGCCAGTTATGACACACACAGCAAAACACGTTCGCTGCCATGCTCGGGCAGCGATTTTTGCCCCTTAAATATCTCAGTTTATTGTTTCTTCATCTCATTCATACCTATGTGCAAAACTAAATTCTGGAAGCTCTCTCAGAACTTCACAGAAGGCTACAGCCGGATAAAAAACAAACAAACAGATGTAATGACGTGTCAAACATTCACATAATTAGTACACGGTAGCCCTCCTGGCGTGGGGGTTGAAACGCGGTGGATATGTGGGGCGCAAACAATATGACACAGAAGTAAAACAAAATTTGCCAAGAATTCTGATTATTCTTACCTAGCTCTCAGACAAGCCTCCTAGCCCAGCTTCGGGTTGTGAATTCATTTGGCAGCCCACGCTAAAAAACCCAGAGTTGCATAGAATTGATTAGTGACAGACAGAAATGGCGAACACAGAGAAATGGATTAGGGTATGCATTAAAACCAAATGAGGTTGCTCCAACCAAAACTCTGAAACCATCCCCTTCCGCAAAGCAAAACTTGCCGCCGCCTCCTCTCCAAATCCTACTTTTGGGGACTGCTTTCTGGCACTGATGTCGTTCTTGCTAAGAGTCATTGTTCTCTTCGTTAGTGACACTTGCTTATCAAATAAAATATTTAAAAAATGTTATAACTGTAAAACGATCTATTGTATGTAAACTTAACAATTAGAATTTGGTAAGTTCTCGTACCTAGTCTGTGAAAAGCCTCCAGCCAGACCACAGAATGGAGTGTTTCTCTGAAGAGCATCAATCTAGCTACCTCACCTGTTAAATATCAGTAGTATGAAGATCCGTGTCTAGCAATAAAGCCTCTTTTTGTGTTTCCATCCACTTTATCACTGACCTATTGAAATCCTGACATGCTGGGATTCTATTTTATGTACATTCTGGTCCTCTCACATGTCACAGATTTAAACATCTGGCCACGGAAGGCAACAAAAGGTATTGTGTTTAAGAAAAATGTGTTTGACCGAGTTTTTCCTTTTCAACAAGTCTCTTTTCCTTGGACACCAGTCACTGTTTTTATAGAACTTATTGTTCTGTTGAACCACGTCTTCTTTGCTGCTTGTACCTCGTTCAGCGCCAGGCCCAAATGGTGCTCTAGATCCTGCAAAAAGAAGCATCGACAGCTGTGATCCGCTGCCTAGCACAAAATGATTTCATTAAGGCTCAGAGGGAGTCAGGAATTCAATAGTCTGTTGGTAACGTTTGCTTGTGAAGAGCCATTCTCTATATAAAACCAATGCAGGTATTCTATCCGACTGCCCTTCTCTCAGGGATTCTTATCAGCCAGACACGTCCAGGTTTTTTATTAGTGTATTCATACTCTAATTCAGCACAGACAATGAGATGAGTGGGAAATTCTCCCATCAAGATCTGGATTCTTCCTTACTCACTTTTGGCAAAAAGCGTTCTGAAATTGCTAAATTAAAAAATAACCTGATAATTGCCCCAAACGTAACCCCTCAGCCTTCCGTTCTAATTAAATCTATATGCACTTTTTTTTTTTTTTTTAAACAAAGTTAGTACAGGTTGAACCTCTCTAGTCCAGCGCCCTTGGGATCTACCCGGCGCTGAACCAGAGAATTTGCCAAACCACAGGAGGTCAATATTGTCAAGCAGCATCCCCAACACTTCCACTGCTTTCTGTGCTCTTAGAAGACACTTAGGAACCAATCAAAACTAAACAACAGCACAGAACACTCGGAGGTGGCTGTAAACAAAGTTCAGGGACTGTGGGATAAGCAGACACCCGTCTGCCGGGCCACCGATGTTGCCAGGCCAAACAGTGACGAACTAGAGAGGTTCAACCTGAATGAACTCGTATGTCCAGATTTGCTCAGCTAAAAACAAGGAGCACGTTTTGGAAGAGATTACATGCATCAGAAACACGAATGCAAAGAAGGGAGGGGAATTTTGGTTATTCCACGGGCACAACAATGAGCAAAAGAAAGTCGAGCAGCCTTGGCCTGCGGAAGACTTTTCTCACCTTTCCACCATGGATCGAAGGGAAGCAGCAGAAGCTTTCTTGCTTGGTACATTTGAAAACAGACTGGACAAAGAACTGAAGAACATACCGAGGGAAACTATCATCCCCTCTGTGCCAGTACAGGGTATATGGGTTTCTTGTATTTCTAGCAGCTAACAATCCATGACCAGACAGAAGAGCAAGGGGGCTAAAAGTCTAAGCCACACTCTTTGATAAACACAGCAGCTATAAAGCCACTTCTATGGCACGATTTTCTTTGTGCTTTCATTTTGATCCCTTCGGATTTAAATCAAATGGCCACTGAACAGCATCCCTGTGGGATCTAAAACATTCAACACCACAGTATCTCAGAGCCTTCCCCCCTTCTGGTACCAAGCAACATCTGTCATGAGGTATTTGTTCGATCCGCAACTACTCCATTGTAAAATAAAGGCCGCCTATTTATTCATTGCTGTGTTGGAGTTAAAATAGGAAGCATGGGGCTTACTTTTCCCACCCACACTGTCACATCAGATCAGGCTGACAGTGCCAGGAAGCAACTGGGCAGATGTCTGGATTTCGTGACAGCAGGTAAAAAGGGACCCGTGTGATTTTCATTATTTTATCTGCATCAGCTGAGCTTTCCAAGCAAAATATTTGTCTAAATGTCCCGTTCAGGAAATAGCAGGTTGCCATTTCAGCCAACTATCTGCTCCCATCCCACCCCTCCAAAACTTACTTTATTTATTTATTTAAACAAACACAAATTCAAGGCAGCTCTGCTCCATAACAAAAAATAACCCCCAAGCATTACCTGTATTTTACACTCTGCTTCGACTAACTGCAGCTTGGTTTGGGCCAGTTCAAGCTCCATTTCCCTCAGCTGGTTTTTCAGAGTCTCCTTTTCCTCATCCGTGTCCTCATCAGAAGCATCCTTGGCAGAGCTGGCGACCTTCACACGCCCTTCTTTATTGAAGAACTCTCGGCAGTATTCACAGTCATCCACTTTTTGCTAAAATCAAAAACATCTGTTGCTGTGCATTTCTGCTCAGGAGGGTGGGAAGCGTCGCGGGAAGGGGGTGTGAGCATGGGGGGCTTTTAGGTGCAGGGGGGCTGGACGCACAAGGGGTGGGTTTGATCGGGCTCACAGCACCACCCTCTCTCTCGGTAATTTACTTCTCAGCTGGCTGCTCTAGGCTCCTGGGGAGGGACATGTAACTGCTCTTATTGCTTTCCTTTGCTTCCCCATCAGAAAATCATTTTTCTGAGGGGAAGCAAAGAAAACTGCAGGGAACATGAATTCTGTGCCCACGTAGTGGCGTAGAGCTCCCCCCAAAGTATTGTCTACAGAACAGGAATGAAATGAAACTTAATGTCCACAACGTGCTTTCAGAGCCTCGGGTGAAAGCATTCTGGAAATCCAAGTATTGTTCACAGAAGAGTCGCAAGTAATACACAGGGTCCAGCGCTAAATCGATATTTCAAGAGATTTGACAAAGAGCTGTGAATCGGACAGAAAAATGATTGTGACTTCTGACCTGTGCTGAAATGCAATCAGCTTTGTCAAGGGGGGAAATTCTCTGTGGAAACGCCCTACGGATTAGACGTGACCGACACAAGGCAAAGAACATTACGACTAAGTGGCAAGGCAGACCATACACACACTGAACAGTCGGATGACCACAGGGCCACATGTCCACTGGCTGCACAGGGTTACTGTTCTGAGCTGCACAGGGACAGCTTGCTGTTGACCAAACTGTTTTGGGATAATTATTTCTACATCCCCTCAATGTTACATGATGGTCAAAACAGGCTGGTGGTGCAGTCTCCTGCTACAGCTAATGACAGCTACCACTGCTTATTGAAGAGGAACAGCATGTTACAGGATGGCATGGTAGGGGGACTGAGAATCTAACTGCCCCTCCTGAAACACCAAGTGGCAGCTGAAGAACGCTGTAGGTGCCGTGTATTTCATCTCTACTTGTGCCAACAGTGAAACACGGGAGCAGGTCCCGTCCCATGCCATCCTGTAACATGCTGTGATAGCTGTCATGAGGGATTTCTTGCTGTAGCAGGAGAAGGCACCACCTGTGGGTAGCACATCATTCCAGCTAGTTCTTTAAAGCCCTTTGTAAAAGACCCTAAATCAGAGTTTCTTAAACTTTTTCAGAGAAACACCAAACAAAAAAAAATTTTTTTAATGAGGAACATCAAGAACTTTTTTTTTTTTGCTCAACAAAAAGAGGCTGAGGAAAAGTTAGAGGAAAAAAAAAAAGGTCAGGGGTGGGGGGCGGGAGTTATTGAGGGGGGAAAAATGGCCTGTCCCTTTAAGGGTGGCCATTTTGAACTCTGTTGTTCTCTGAGGCACACCTCCAACTGCCTCGTGGCACACCGGTGTGCCACGGGACACAGTTTAAGAGACACTGCCCTAAATGCACTGATTCATAAGGCTGGTAACATTTAAACAGTGAAGACCCTGGGAACATGCAGCCCCTTACCCGGATTTTCTCAATTTCAGCTTTATTTGCTGTTTGTTGCTTCTCCAGTCGCTCGCTCAGCTGAGAGCAAATCTAACAAAGCAAAAGTCTGTTACCATGCAGCAATGCCTCAGTAAGTGTTAACGTCAAACTCCTGTGCGACAGCAGAACGAAGGGGGAGATTTTAAGGGCCTTGGAAGAGGTAGAAATTCACAGTCAATGTTTCTTAAGCAACTGGGACCCTGCTGCAGGAGCCTAGGCATTACAGCAGGGCCTTTCGCTGTAGTCACACACCGTGCACGCAGTAACGCAAGGAGTTACATATGTGCCTCTGGAGGCAAAGCAAGTAAGTTCATAGCTCAGCCCCTCTGGAGGAGTCAAGAAACTGAAAAGCAAGCAGAGTTCCAACCAGAGCCTCGGGAATCAGTAAATAATCATGATTGTGGGCGTGGCAAGCCACACCTACCCCTGGAGGCATGTTTGATGCAGCTTAGGAATACCCGGAGGCTAAATTCCTAGCAAATGGAGCGATGGATTGGATAGCAGGCACTGCAGGAGTGCGAATCCAAACCTAACATTCTGAAACAGCACCATAAGGCTGCACCTACCTGCTTATAGTCGCCAATAATAGAACTGTTCTTTTTAATCTCCGACTCCGCCTTGTCTAGTTCCCTCCGACACATTTCCTTCAGCTGCAGGACAATGAAGCGACAGTTCTGTAGTTACACTCCAGTAAAGAAACACTCCGACAGCATCTGCAGAAGACAACCCACCTCCATTCCTCTATCTCAGAGCCCTGGAGAGCTGGCCCGCTCAGACACAACGAGCTTGCCCAGACCCACTTCAATCTACGAAGCTAGTTGGAGAACCTGATGGCAAAGCGTGTCAGGAAAATTGGGTTGGTTTGTGGTCGGAGATGTACCGGGAGAAATGGTGACAGTTGGAATCTTACGTTGCTTCCACATGCAGTAAGAGTGTGTGGGCATCCATGCTTCCGAGTTAGTGAAATAGTAACGTTCAGTAAGCAGCAGCTTTCAAAGGGACAGGGAACTCTGTTTCGCTGCACTCCCTGCGCTTCCCAAGCAGGTCTCAATTGCTTAGTTTCCCTGCTGTACAGACACAAGAAAGCAACAGAAACGCCCATCACCTGAGCAGCCTCCTCTTCTAGTCGCCTTTTTTCTTCTTCTGCATCAATTAACTTCTGTTTGGTCATCAGCAACTCCTTATTCAGTGCATCTGCCTTTTCCTCGGCCTGAAACACACACCAAAGAGCGGAACATCAAGCGCAGGATTTCCCATCACTAACGGATTATATGCAAGGTGAGCGTATGTCTCTTGGCATCCAAGAGCACACCAGAGCCCTGGGACTCTGCCACGGCCGCCGTAGCATTTGACACTCTTCATTTTTCATTCCAAGTACCATCAGAGGAGATAAAGGAGCCTTTTTTGATAGGAGAGCACTACAAGAACAAACTTATCTGTCATATTTGGTGCTTCCTACAGCTTCTCCTGGAAATTGTGTGCCTGCTGCACAATTATCCTTACTCCCCTCAGCAGTACCCCTCCTCCTCCGACCATTCTCACAAGAGACCCTGGTCCCTGCTTCTCAGCCATCATCTACCAGAAGAAACCGCACCAAATGGAGACCTTCCTGTAGAGACTCTCTGGATGTTTCCAGTATATTTTGTAAGTTCATGTAAACTAGGAAGGTGAAAATTAAAAGGAGACTCCCGAGGCTCAAATACATGGGCAGAGTACACCGGGAGACTTTATTATTTGCAGCTCTTAATTTGGTAACCAATAAAATGCAGCAAACCACAACCCATCTAATGTGACTAAAGAGGCAGGTCTTATTCTTATGAAGGTGGAAATGGCACCTGACAGATGCTTCGTCACATCAGTACTAGGCACAAATTAATCATTTCTCGAGGGTGGGAGAGTGAGAAGGAGAAAGTCAGCCCTTAATGATTTCGCTTTCTGGGTCACAGAACAGGTCTTTCATGGCCTATGCACTGCCATGCAGGTCGCCCCTGCATTGCAAACAGCTAACAGTGGTTAGCCTAGAAGACAGGAGTCAGCGTGAACTCTGTTCTGCATGGATAATCCTCCCTCCCAAAGCTCTTCTTTAATTTCAGTGACCAGGCTCAGCAAAGACAGCAGCCGAAGGATTGCTCCCAGGAAGAAATCCAATTAGGGAAATAATGACTATATTCCCTTTTCACTTGGGCCTGGGACCAGAACAGGACAATGGGAGGCACAGAACAGATAGCTATTTGAAAGAACATCTGCATTACAGACTCTAACAATCATGTTCCTTTTGCAAACATCCAAGCCCTGGTGGGAATAGATTAATTGAGAAAGCCCTCGGAGAGCGTCACCAAATCAAAGCAGACATGCAGGGGAGCCAACAGCGATGCCAGGCCCCTGGCAAGGTGGGGAGAGCCTGGCTCCATGCTTCCGGAAGGGGTTGGAGCAAGGGAGGAAGGGGTGCGGCCGAGGGCAGCTGGCCCCCAGCACCACCTCCCCAGGTAACCCTAAGAGCCATCCAAAGTACTGCATCGGTGCTCTGGTAGCAATTTAAAAGGCTTGGGACCAGCGGCGGCCAGCACCCTGGGCCCCTCTGAATCACTAGGTCCCGAGGCAAATGCCCCTTTGCCTTCACGGGCAGGTGTCACGTCTGTAAGCCCGCTGATGGGGATGGGAAGCAATTACTCCCCTTATTTCTTGTGCTATTCAGATTTTAACAGAATCCAACACAAACAAATAGGAATAGTCCAGGGACCGCCTGCTCCACTAAGTGCTCAATACTTTGGCAGAAAATGTGTACATTGAACAGAAACCGGAAATGAACTTTCAATCCCTAGAGGGTATAGCACTCCTTCTCCCCAAAAGGAGGTAGTGAGCTCCCTTCTACCTGGGCCTAAGGGCGCAGTCCTGGAGTATGCCAAACCACATCTCCATAGCTGTATGTTAACTCAGCTTTCTGATCAAATAAGACAGCACTTTCCCTTACTTTCATTCCAAGATCTACTATGACGACAAGTCTGATCTTGAAAAAATACTTTTGGGGGAATGTAAAAATGCAAAGGGTAAATGATACTGGAAAAGATTAGGACACTGGCCTTGAAAAGCTCCTTAGGTTGATGGGGGGGGAAAAAAAATCACATTATAGATAAGTTACTCAAAACCATTACAGCGTCTTTTCCAGCGTTGCTGCACAAATGTAACGGCTCAAGCCTCCCAGACAGACGTACTGACTATATAGATATAATCAATAACTCATTTAAAGACACCAAAAATCAACCGTCTCAATCCCTTCGGAAGGAAGAGAATCAGACAGTGAATTTCAGCCCACTAAAGTCGCGATGATCCTTCAAAACGGGCACAGTCTTAAGGGACTGACTTGTCACTATCTATTGGCTCCAAACTGTTTTGAAGAAAACTTGGCAACTGATTCCAACAAAAGAAAAATGACTGAAGCTGAATTTCTGGGCTAGTATACAGGAAATGAAGGAAGCTGTTTAATTTCAACTCTTTGCTTTGATCTGTCCAGGCTAGGAGATTGCAAACAAACCTTGAAGTATCAGAAAAGGTAAATTACACCATGTCCTTTAGTACTTCCCTCCCAGGACAGCTGACCAGTGGAAGTGGAGCATGATCTCAGGGCCCCATTCAAAGAATAAATCCATGGTCCTAGAGTTTAGGATCAAATCAAGTCAGTCCCTGCACAGGCATTTCTGTAAACTTAATTTAGCCATCTCTGGAGGATGGACAGAGCATAACCAAATGAGGTTTGGCTTAATTCTGCTTGGTATAAGCCAGTCAACATTAGAGCACAGCTAAGTCTCATCTGAGTTCAACCACAGTTCCTAGAGGATATCAAATGCAACAAAAGATGATCTGTCAGTGCATTGTATGCTGGGGTCTCTCCTTTGAGCACAAGTGCTCAGCTGTCCTCCCATTCCTCGACGGTGTCTTTGTTGAAATGGAAAAGGAGGTGGAACAAAGCAAATATGCTGCTATTTTGTGAAGTCTCTGCCTGGAACAAAAGGGTAATGGAACTTATTACTCATATTCATAGCAGGTTTTCATAATACTGGGGCGCTGTGGGTGTGAAATCCTGAAAGCCGTAAGATGAGCCTCACAAGGAGCAACATTCATCCACGGGTAGAAATACTCACCCGTAAACAATAAGAACTTCCAGTATTTTCCCTGAACTTTCCCTGACACCTTTAGGTTGTCAAATCCTGGCTTATATAACCTTCAAAACCCAGCTTCACCTGGGCTTTCATAAACGCTTGTATAGGATGCAAGCACTTTCATTCTTTGCCACACACTGCTAATATCTATCAGCTCAGAGGCAGCAGGAGCTCGGTTTGACCCTACCACAGGTTTCAAGTCTTCTGTGTCTCTGCAAAAGTACATCCTAGCAAAACATCCCAATGTGATCATCTGACTAGGACATGGTAGGAAGAGCCAGCAAAGGAAAAAGTTCCTCTAACAAAATTGGAATCCAAGCATGGGGGAACAAAAGGAAAAAACCTGAATTTTATAAGAATCTTGGAAGACAATTTTTAGCATCAAGGATATTCTCTCAGTTTAGGACACGTAAGAATGGCTGTACTGGGTCAGACTAAATCATCTAGCCCAGTGTACAGTCTTCTGATAGTGGAAATGCACGTGTAAATACTTGACCTCGACAAGAATGTACCTTCCAGTGCATTTGCCTTTACAAAATTATTGATATGGGAAATGACCCGTGTGATTTCAAATACATGGGAAGGAAGGAAAATCTTAATGGATTCAACCCATATCGGCAGACTGCAGCAATCCAACACACACAGGATGAAATTTTTCAAAAAGCACCTAGGAGACTTAAGAGTCCAAGTCCCATTGACAGTCCGAGGGACTTTGGGGTTCTGCAGTGCATTGTGACCATGAAACGATATCCACAGACTAAACCGCTGCCAGCAAGTCAGAACGCAGGAGACACCGTAATGTCCCTACAGGTCAGAAAATGGGCTTTTTAGACTCCAGCTATGTACTTTCTGTTACCCAACTCAGTGACACCAAGGAAGCATCTGCATCCTGTAAGATCAAGATGGATCTTACAGTCTGTACATTTAGCAATTGCTCTGCCAAAACAGGAGCCAACCTGCCCCAGTTACTCTACACCACATGTACTGTTACGAGGGGAAGAATAACACTGCCAATTTACCCTGTGGGGAGGTCAGAATGCAACTTTCAAAGCAGGAATTTGGTTCCATGAAGGAACTAATCTCTCTCCTCTCCCTCATGTTTCTTTGGGCTCTTTTCGTGACCATGGTGGTCAAAGCCTCA